CAGGACCACTGCTGCTGGCACGGGGAACAGAAGAACTGCTTTCATTTCACATTTTGTGACCTTTCTCTGCTTTTCAGTAGCTTGTTTGCTATTTAAACACATTTGCTTACTTAATGATCTTGATTTTTAAGTATGTATTTGTGTGTGTGTGCTGGGTGTCTCTCTGAGATGCACTGCATGGCTAATGAGGCCTGGCAGGATTTTGCACTGAGCCCTTGGGAGCCCAGGCTTGGTCCCAGCCCAGGTTTGGGCTGTGCTGCAAGGGGCTGTGCAGAGCAGAGGGCACAGACTGGGGGCACAGGGGGGTCTCTGCCCACTCACTGCATTAGTCAGGGTGAGCAGGTACCTCTGGGAGCTCTTCCTATTGCCCTGCAGGCAGGACACGTGGAAGTGCCCAAATTCCTGCTTTTATTGACCATGAGGCTGAGCAAGTGCACTCAGGGAGAAACCTTTGCAAATACATTTTTTTTTTTTTTCCTTCCCCATCTCTCTCTGCATTCTTGGTGGGACATGAGGTGAGCTGAAGGCCCTGTCCTTGCCTCAGCTGTCCCTGGGGAGCACTGGCAGCACCACACACCAAGGCCCCTCTGCCACCACTCCTTAGTGATGCTCCAGTGATGCTCAGCCCGAGCACAGGGAAAATGAAGCGCTGATTTAGGCTGAAAAGCCAGTGCTAGCTAATATGGGAAATTACTCCAGCAATCATCACTCTTTTTCTGTCACTATGGTGACAAAAGAAATGACAAAAGCCTGAGCAGAAAGATATGGTGACTCAAGTAGAGAGGGACAGAGCAAATGCCTGGCAGCTGCAGCCAGGTCAGGGCAGATCCAGGAGGGCAGAGGCAGAACAGGAAACCTGTGCTGGAGCCATTGCTCACTGCTGGATGCACTTGTGTCCCACAAGGGGTTTGCAGTGTGACACAAGCACTAAACCCATGTTGCACCAAGTGTCACACTCAGTGTAGCTTCCACAGACCTAAAAAATATAATAATGTCAGTCATACAAGGTTTTCATGCCACAGCTTTAATCCTAATGCACTAACCATTGATTTTTGCACCACCTTCCTCTTCAGGACTTGCTTGCCACCAGCCCTAAGTGGCTCTGCAGCTTTCTCCCCACAGTGTCAGCAGCTGAGCATCCTTAGGGGACACAGAGGAGCTCTGCTCTTCCCAGCCAAAGCAATGGTCACCTGGCTTGGCAGCAGATGAATGGGAAGGCACAGGGGGCATGCCTGGAGGCACCCAGGCTGTGGGGAGAGCTGAAGGGATTCTGGCTCAGCCCCTGTCTCTGCAGCACTGCTGGTCAGCTTTCCCCGGGGCCCTTCCAGCATTCCCCATCTCACCATGCACAGACAAAGTACCAGCTCCCAGATGCCCAAGCAGCAGGCTGCTGTGCTGCTCAAGGAGAGAAATCTATCTCAAGAATATCTTCTCAAAAAACTTCAAAGAAGAAACTGGGCAGTTGCAGCAAATTTGTGGGTCCAAGGACAACTTGCTCAGGAGTCCCTGGTGGAGAAGGTGCCACTGCATTGGTGCCCATCCTGCAGTGACAGTCCAAGCCCTGGGGGCCAGGAGGAGTCACCAGCAGATCAAATGGCATCCAATGTCTGTGCCATGTTAAGCTGAATTTTTATTTTCTTGGAGTCAAAGGAGGAAAAATGGTGGTGCAGAAGAGGGTTCTGGAGAGAGAAGTGGGAAAAATCTTCATCCGTAAACACATCCTCTGCTCTACCTCATCTTTTTTTTTTTTTTTCAGGAGGGAAGACTGTATTTTCCAGCCAGCTCTACTCATGAGTGATTGTGCAGAGCTGTGCTAATGGGCTCTGCCAAGCTGTGGTCACCCTACGGAGCTATTGGCAGGAGACGTGGCAAGTTGGAAAGGACTACAAGGGAACTCTGCATGATATTTTTTGATGAGCTGATTATTCAGAAATTTCACAAGAGCTGAAATATATCACTCTGTTCTGAAACTCACAGCCCTGCCAACACACAGGACAGCTTACATGAGCAGCAGCATTTTCTCCTTCACAGAGTTGCTGGCCTGCACGTCAGGATGCAGGAACTGGACAAGGCTTTTCAGCAGTCATTGACCACAGTGACAATGAGAGGTGGGGAGTGGATAGGAGGACACAGGAAGCTGGCATAGAAATTATTTTGGTACTTTCATGGCTGTCACTGTGTGTGTATTTGGGTTTGGGAGTTTTTCATTAGCTCGGTGGGTGCTGGGGCATTAAGATTTTTATTGCTTTGTGACCAGGTATGAGATCACCCTGGATTCCACATGGCTTCAGGTATTTTTATTTCAGGAGTGCTCAGTCCCTGGCCACATTTCAGGGTACTGTCACATGCCAGGAGCTGACCATGACTCCCCCCATTGCAGCCAGGACCTGCTGTCTTGGCATCAGCCTGAGTCTGCAGCCCAGTCAGGCTCCCACAGAGACCAGCAGAACATTTTCCTTTCTTTCCAAGATTAACTAAAACCAAAACACTGCCTTATTTGAGCACAGAATCAAAAGAGAGCCTGACATCTGCGGGGTGGGTGAAAGTGTGCTGGGGAGGTTAGAAGCAGCTCAGATTTCTGAATTAACACACAAAGTCTTCAGGGAGCTGACACGGCCCATCCCCAGCCCATGGACCATCAGCTGTGCCACAGAGAGCCTGGAGCTGGCATATCTGCATCTGGAGCAAGAACAATGCTGAACTGCTGAAAGGCAAATAACAAACACCCCCATGCTGCACTCTGAAAGCACTTGAGCTGCCTGGCATGGCAGGGGATGCATGGGCTGATGTGTCCCCATCAGACTGAGCTCCCAAAAACCTGTCTGCTCTCCTGTGCGTGTCCTGAGACACCTCTGCAAGTTCCAGAGCAGTCAGGGGACATGTGGAGCTCCTGGGCTGCTGCTACAAGTCTGAGGAGAACTGTGGCTGAACCATATATGGTTTTACTCATGGAAAACAAGGCACACAGGCACAGCCCTTGCAGCTCTGCAGAGGAACTGCTGCTTCAGGAAAAACTCTTAGGAATTGAAAAAATCTAGGTAATTTTCTTCTCTGTAGGGACAGGGAATGAGGGTCTGAGCTGTGTCCTGTTATGACGCCACCCCATTGGGACACTCCTCTTGTGCCATGTCCATCTGAGCCCCTGCACAGGTGATTTTTCCCATGTCTCCTGCTTTGGGTGAGGGAGCTCAGCACTGCAGCGTTCCCCAGCCCATAGGCAAACCCCAGGCATGACCCCCATGAGGGCGAGAGATGAAGGCTGAAAAGGACAAAGGTGGTTACAAAGTTCCTGAGTGTCTTCAGCACAGCATCTCCTCACATTCCCAGCAATGGCACCCCTGCATACAGCTCCTTGCCCGTGGAAAATTAAGTCTGTAAGAAGTATATAAATGATCCAGACAGCATCTTCAAGGTCCATATCTTAAAAAAACCACGAGGGTTTACTCCACATTCTGCTGCAGGATGTCATGTACTTCATGATCTACCTTTTCTAATCTCTCCTTATCTCTCACTCCAATCCTTTCTCATGTCCCTCATCTATTGCAAATTCCCTTTTTAAGCTGGAGCGAAGCACATAAATATTTTCATGCTGCATAAATAGGTTGTTTTGTGCATAATGTCAGAGGAGGCCTTTTTTAAAACCAGGACCTTTAGTACTGTGATAACGGCCTCCTCATTTACACAAATGAAATCTTCCACGGAGCTCAGCACTCATCTGCTCTGCAGCCCCCATGCAAAATGGCTGGCATAGCGCCTGCTCATCACAGGGCACAGAATTAATACAGAATATTCCATAATAAATAGGGAGCCATTGAGCAGCAGGTTTGAAAATCCCTTGCAAATGTAACTGATGCTGAGGTTTCTCTTTAGTGTTCCCCAGCAGCACAACCATTGTCTTCCTTCTATGTGAACTCACAGCAACTTGAAATGCTGAAGTGCAAAAGGACAACCATTTATGTTGGCCCATTTGCCAGCATCTTTGACCGTTCTGTCTGCTCACCTTACCTTCTCTGTCACTTCTTGCTCCCTGACCTTCATTTCCTGTTTATTCAGCCCTTGCTCAGGGTCTAAAAAGTGCCGACACCATCAAAATGGACTTCATTTACTCTGCACAAGAAAAGAAATAGTGTTACAATCTGTACAGTTTTTAAAAGGGCTAATGGAAGATACTGGGGGCCACGCTGGGTCATGGTAAGTCTTTGAATCACAGTGGTTTTCAGGAGCAATATTTAAATAGCATGACAGTAAAAACTGGAATCAAACATCTGTGATTTTGCTCTAGTATTTCTATTTCTATTTGACCAGCATAAAGACTTAAAGGCTCTACAGTACAGATCAGAGAGAGCTGGTGAAAATTATGAAAACTCATCCATTGTGCATTTTCAGACTTCTCAGGTCAGGCTGTAATCCTCCAGGACAGACTATCCTGGAGCAGTTGAATTTGTTCTGAACATGCTCACACTGTTCTGCCAGGCAGGCAAAGCTCTGCTCTGGACCTGACTGTGACCTCCTTGAGCCCTCAGGTACCCTATGGCCTCCCTCAGCATGACTCTTATTGAAAGACTTGGGGGCATTTTGCTTTTCATCTTGAGTTTGGGGGACACACAAATCTTTGATTGTTTGCTTCCCTGCAGTTCCAGAGGAGGATTATGGGTCCCCTTTTCATGCAAATCTTACAGACTCATTTCTTCTCTCTTCCATCTGTTTTTGGACTTCTTTTCCTGCATTATGTGTTGGCAATCAGCAACTAACCCGTGGTGGGTTTCTTCCTGGGTGTGTAGTTCCAAACACAGCATTTCTTGCTCAGAGATTGTTCCACGTGGGAGGCTCCCCCTTGATGTTTGTGGCTGGGAGCAGCCATTCATGCCAGCCTAACCCTAATGTGATTATTGTCCCATGAGCAACTTCCCATATTAATTGTTTTACAGAAGTGTTTTGTATCACTTAAAACTCCAGAAGCCTTTTCATAATGCATCAAAAGAACAGAGAAAAGAAAGATCTCAGGAAACTTAATATTTCTTGTTATAGAACTCACCTGATAAAAAACAGCTTTCCAAGTTTATTTTGGCGAGTCTGTAACAAAGTCTTGGTTTGTATGAATTGCCACACTGCTAAAAGATCTAATTTTTCTATGATAAAATAGCCTACATACAATAACTGAATCAAAGAGCACAACAAGGAGTAAAGACTTTATAATGTACCTAAACACAGTAGCTACCAGATTTCCTGGCACTTTATTTCTATTTAGGCCAAGGGACAATTTAAAAAGATTCATTCCCAAGTACACAATTCAGAAAAATATGAGTTACAATTCAGAGCAATATTTTGAACCAGTGCTGTTGAGTTGTCTTAGCTGGAATTCAACCTTGATGATATCCAAAGGTCCAATAAAATTTTTCATGGAAGGATCCCATATTTGTAGAACATAATAAAATTGTCGAGCTGCAGCTGCAGGGCCACTGAGAACTGGAGAATGAGGTCATTCTTTCTGGGGACTTTCTGGTGTCATGGGATGTGTTCCAAACACTTTGTTACCTGATAAGTATCAAACATAACAGATCATTACATATAATAAATAGCAGCTTTGATCTTTGTTAGTAAGACAAAATGTGAGGCTGTTTATTACTAATGACTTAGGTGCTCATTAGTGTGCTCTGACAGGAGTCACTGACAGCAACAGGCAAAAGGAAATGTTCACTGTTAAACCCCTACACAGCACATTGCAGCTCCTATTACAGCCCATGCAACAGAGAAGGAGAAAAGCCTTGCACACAACTATTTTAAAATTTACCAGATCAAGAAAGAGACTTGTCCAATTTATTATTTGCTTTTCCAATAAACTGCAGTTGCAAATAATACTAATGCCTGCCTTTCACTTTGTGCTTTTCATTCCTAACTCACAAAGCGCCCCTGGACAGAGGTCAGGATCATTTTACAAAAACCAAACATGAAGTGAGGCCACCCCTCTGATGTCCCTGAGTAAGGCAGCACAGTCCCTGCTCTGTTGACCTCTCCTCATAGGAGCAGAGGATTAGAAAGGGCATCTTGTGTCATCAAATCCAGCTTCTTACTCTTCAAATCTATTTTGCTATAATAACCTCATGCAAGACTCTTTGGGGCTCATGATCTCTTATATAAGTTCCTACAAATAATCTTTCAAGACTATCATCTCTTGTTTATCCTCATCCAACCTGACCATGTGGTGGGACTCTGCCTAATGCCAAGGAATTACACATCAGTGATTTGGGACCATCACCCAGAAAATACCCTCAGCTTCACATGCTGGAGAACAAATGGGGCATTTCTTGCCATATCTGCTCCAATTTTATGCATATCTTTGTGGTCCATCCTAGTAAAAGAGCTGTACTAGATGCCATGACAGATGTGAAAGGTGTTCCTGAAGCAGAGAAATAGAAATGCTGAGAGCCTGAAGCTGCGGAAGCTGTGTGTGAAATCCCTGCAGAAACTCAGAGCACAGTTTTTACTGCAGTGGTAGCTGGAGGCTTGCAGCAGCCACAGGTGCTGACACAAGTGGGACATTTGAGTTTATCCCTGCAGTACCTCTGCTTTTGTGTGGGGACTGACATCCTGCAAACAACAGAGCCTCAAGTACACTCAGTCCAACATTTCCAACATCCATCACCCCCTTCCTTTCTCAAATAACTACTTACTGGAGGAGTTATTAATACCTTTCCACCTACACAGCCTAGACAGCGACACTCACACAAAGGCAGTGTTGAGGCTTTGAGGTCAGGCTCGAGTTGCTGGTTTGGGCAGTTCTACAGCAACAGGATACCATGATACAAACCTTTGCTAATAATTGAGCATGAAATAGGCTTTCGGCTTGGTATCTTCAGTTTTGTACCTTCACTTCAGAACATGTTTAGAGCTGGGAAAATTATCTCAGCTTATTAAACACAAAGCTGTTAGCCAAGTGTTAGATGAGGGCATGGCCCCCGAGCTCGCTGCCGGGGCTGCGCGCAAGGCTCGGCTCTTGCCGCTGCTGTGGCTGCAGTTCAGCCACCCACTTCTTGGTTTGATTGTCTTTCTCACTGAAACATATGTTTCCCATTCCCACGGCATTTTGAGCAACTGTTTCCATTGTAAGCCCCTCCTGACTGACGGCTCGATGGCAGCCTGTGAATCACTTGGCACGGATTTTGGGAATCTGCTTCAAGGAGGGTCTGGCTGCTCGTGAAGAGCATCCTCTGGCAGCTTTGGGGGCAAGAGATTAGCACCATTTTAGAGCAGGTTTGGGTGTAAAAACACCTAGTCACAGTTGATATCATCCTTATTTGAAGCTCAGCATTGTCCTGCACCTCAGCTCTTTTGTCCCAGGTCCTCAAACACATGTCCACCACTTCTGCTCAGCTTTCCCCATTTTCCTCCCATACAACGTGACACGCAAAGCACATGATGAATCAAGAACTGATCCCACTGACAATATTTGATTTTGACAGGAAGCCCAGGTAGGCATTCAGGCTGCTGGATATGCAGGTTAAGAGAAACATTTGGCTGTCAGCTTTCTTCACCAACAGTAACACATTTGCTGCTTTGCATTTATGCTGTAGAATCATGCCTGAGTCTCTGGCCCTGATGTTTGTACTGTGGCCATAATTACAGGATCCAGGCAGTGCTGTATGGAATTCATGTACTGAACAGCTGAATTAAATGGCCACCTATAAGGAAATGAAATATCTTTTTATAATAATGTATAACTTTCAGGACAGTACTACTTCCACCCTCAAAACAGAGCCCTGGAATAGGTGTGAGGGGGACATCATTACCTCTCACAAGAGGATGACATTTCATTTATAACTCTAGCTAGCTCTCCTGTAGCTCTGTTTTCATAAGAAATATCACATGCTTCAACCAGAAAAATAATCATCCTCAACACTGAGGCTGCTGTGCATTAGCACACCACATTTATTCGGGGAAGCCTTTTGCCCTGAGCTTTCTGAGTGTCACTGCTGTAGAGTCACTGCACCACTTCTGGCTGTTTACCCCTTGAAAAGGTAATGTAATTCCTGTGTATAAACCTTCTCCCTGCTGCAGAGTTGGAGAGTCTGGATATTTTTCACTGAAAAAAATACCAGCAAGGGCCAGATTATGTTTGTTGGATTTGTGTTGATAATTAACTTTCCTTGCATCCCATTGAAATGACAAAAACATTACTTTATATGTAGTTACCACAGAAAAAATAGTATTTAGGTGGAAAAGCACAGACCCTGTGATCTGATCCATCTTCTCTTTGCTATTTCCAACTACTTAAAGCATAATGTCACACTGAAATGCACACTTGGAGTGCTGCATTCTCTTCTGACAGAATTTTATGATCTTTTTCAAGGTGACCTTCATAAAATGTGTTTCTTTTGAAGCTTATACTTCATTCTCAGGTCATAATAGTTTTACACAGGCAAGCAAACTGCCAGCTCCTGCTTTTTAATTAATGCTTCTTGGAGGCTTCTGAGTGGGGGATATAATTAATAGCACTTAAGTCTGGAGTGCAGAGGAGTCTATAGCAGATTACTGGGATGTGTGTTTACTGCAGGATTACACACAAACAGCTCCTGGACCATGCCCTCTGGGAATTGCCCAGGCTCTGGCACCACCTGACTCTAACTCCAGTGTAAGCACTCAAAAGGTTGCCCTGCTTTATCAAGTGGTGCTCTGAAACTGCTGAGGGTCTCTGCTTGCTGCAGCCCTTGTCCCTGCTCCCATTTCCCATAACACAGCATGCTGTGCTTTTCAAAACTGCCTGGTCACTCTGCTTTGCCAACAGGCAGCACCAAGTGCAGGAAATCCCTGCACCGTGCAGTGGTGCCCACCCAGGTGCCCACCCTGCTCTGTGGCCCACAGTGCATCCTCTGGGGCAGATGTCCTTGCTGCATCCCAGATCCACTCTGTGCATCACAGACATAGCCATTGCTTTGTGGGTTTATGCAGTTTAAAGTACCAGAAATGATAGGAGGGTTTTTCTTACAGTAAAACAAGCAAAGATGGGTGTTGCAAGTCATTTTGTCATATTTGCCTAAATTTAAGGAAAGTGATGGGATTGCTTTGGTTCACTCTCATGCATGCAGCATGGATTGTCACACTCCAGAGGTGCTGGAGCAAAATCAGATGCAAGTCAAATTGCCAGTTTAAATTCCCCCTGGCCTGCTATCAGTGGTAATTTCCTTGCTGAAGTCAATAGAACAGCGTTTTCTCACACATGCCGAGATCTTGGTGCAGAACAGGCAGCTGTGAGGCAGGGTGAGTGCTCTCAAAGAATGAGTGGGGGAAAAAAGAGTAGAATTCATACTCTCTGGAAAAGCTGGAAAGACTGTATTATCCAGAAACATTGCCAGACTGGGGACAAAGGGGAGAACTGACATCAGAAATACTGCAAGACTGTGCAGGACACATTATTTGAAGGGATTTCTACAAGAATTTGGCATGTTGCAGGACACAAAATATTCAGGTGCTTAAGCAATTAAAAGCTATTGAATATTTGTAACTCCAAGCACTTGGCAACAGAATATCACTGTCAACTTCTTTATGCAAAGGGACATTTTGACACTGTACTTAAGACTGACTACTTTTCTAATGGCATAAAAGTATTACTTCAGTTATGCACAAAATAGGAAAACTACTGAAACTTGTGCTGCCTGGTTCTTTCTTCAGAAATAACAACACAGAGTGAAGCTGCCTTTGAAGAGAAATATTTTTCACATACTATCTGAAGGTTAAAGTCTTTTAATCTTTAGCCTTTTTGCTGGCATGTGCAATTTAAAATGCTCAAAACAGACTATCAAAACACCCAGATACACATAGCTAGAAAATTCAAAAGGCGCATCTGAAAATAGGCTTGGAAATTAGGGTGCTGCATCAACTCCTGCTCTTTGAGAAAGGACCTTTTCCCCATGGATCCACCTCAAAAATCAACCAAGTTACCAAACACGCCTGACCAGAGGACAGCCAACACAGAATGAGAAATGAGAAACAGCTCCCAGAGAGGCTCTAAAGAGGTAAAATCTTGGTGCTGCTAACAAAAGAGTGACTAAATGGGGAAATTCTGTATTAAATATCCATCCCCCAGAATATTTTTCTTTCCTTTTCTTTCTCACTTCTAGAACATGAAGTTCTCCTGAGCTTCAGCTCTGTGGACACAGTTCTGTGAGCAGAAAGAACAAGTCCTTCTAATGAGGTGGGATACAGTGGCATGGGGACACCCAGGGGAAAGCCAAAAACACAAGCAAAGCACAAATTCACTCACTGATATTGCACACAGAGATAAAATATTTAAAGATAAGCATTTTTGCAAGGGTGGAAACCTAGCAAGGCTAAATGTGTTCATTTCCTGAAGCAAGTGGGTGGATATTTTGGGTCATCTGGGGACTGATGTAGAAGCACTCAACTGTAGTTAGTCAGCCAAGAGGGATCAGCACCAGCAAATTAAGTAGAGAGAGAACTTAGAGCTTCTTGCCTTACTCAAGTATTTATTAAGAAAAAGTTACTTGCAAGTCCTCCTTGATTAGATAGTCTCTAAATACAGGTAAAAGATGCTACTGGACCTTGTCTAGTCTTACAGGACTTGTGGCAGGTGGTGAAGGACTTGTGATAAATGTAAGGATAGCTGGAAAAGCTCTAAAACACAGCTTGGTCTGTCCAGGCTAAGCCAGCTAAGCTGGGCTTCTTTAAACAAAACAATGAAGTACAAAAATAATGCATGAGGCCTTAAAAATCACTATTTATTGGCTGCAGAACACCCACATTCAGCTCTTTCTGACTATCCCTATGCTGCATGAAAAAACCTCAAGTCAAGTGTCATTCAGGTAAATCCACAAATGGCAAAATAAATGCTTTGTAGGTGAAATACAAAAATAGCTTCAAAGAAGGATGCATATAACCTTGTTAATTTGCCAAAAGTTTTCAATCTGCATCACTTTAGAAGCAAGGTTAAGAGAGAAGACAAAGGCTGAGAAATGCAGAAGGTGCATAGATATACCTTTATCTCAGATTCAGAGCCTTAAACCTCAAAGGCAAAATAATTCTGGGGAGAAGAGATTGACAGTGATGCCTAATGTTGGGAATTAAGGGTTGGAAGGACTGCCTGTACTAGGCACTCTCATGATAATGATGCCAGGAAGATTTAATTTACCAGTATGTTCTAGGAAAGGTAATGACCTTAATATCACAGGAAACGTATCAAGAGGTCATCCATGCAGACACAGGCTGACTCATTTTCATAACAAATGAAAATGGATGTCCAGCCACACGAATTTGCTTGCAGGAAAGGATTTATATTATACCATCTATCCAGTTTTGTGTTTGTATCAGAAAAGATAAAGAACATTTTATTGATATATGGGGATTTAATTCCAACGCCTTTGAGAATCTCTAGGAAAAAATGCATTTCCAATTCATTTCTGAAGAGAACAAATAAAAATCTCCCCCAAAAACCTAACAAATCAATAAAGGGAAAAGATATCACAGTGGAATTGGGATGTGCCATTTCCCCCTAGGTACTATTCATTGGTTGCTGGGCCATAGATGAAGCACCACATAAAGCCTCTGTTAGAGAAGAGTGCTTACACATGCATTACCAAGGATATGCTCTTCCTGGCTGAGTAATTCACTTTTGAGAAGCATCTTTCTGAGAAGGTGAAAAGTGGGTGTCTAAATGCAACTCTAGCAGCCACTGCAGAAATGTGACTGTGTAGCCCAAACCCTGGAGGTCTCAGCTGCTGGGGAGAAATTTCCTTCACAGATGGGAATTACATGTGTTACATGGATTTTTCTGTGCTCATCCACAGGAGGGTTGGCACAGCTACTTTGGCTGGAGAAGACAAGAGCATGGTCACGATGCAAGAAAAAAAATGGAAGGGGAAGTCTGATGAACTCCAAATGGAGTCATCCAAAATGCCATCCAAATGGCAGAATGCACAGGAGATGAGAGCTGCCACGTAAGCGTGCCACCCCTACAATGCACAGTTTAGCTCATGATTTCTCAAGCTGGGCTGCAAGCAGTGAGTCACACAGAGAGAGGAGGGTTATTTCTGGGGTTTTGGTTCTTCAGAGGAAAAACATGAAACAGTCAGAAATGACAGAGAAGTGAGAGTGCTGGATGATGGCAAACAGCATATGGGGAGCAGGGGAGAGGGAGATTTGCCATCCTTGCTGCAGTATTACATCCCAGCCTAATTCACATTGATCTCCAGGGACCAGCTCATTTCTGCTGGAAGAATCTGGCTTCTGGGACTCCAGGTACAAAATGAAAAACTCTCAATTTCTAGAGCATCAATGTTGGTGTTTGCCAAGTGTTTTCTCTTTTCTGTTCCTCCCTGCAAATCTTTTTTTTTTTTTCTCTTAAGGTCCATGGAAAAGTTAGCAGAACAGGCAGTTTTCCAGCAGGCTTAGTTTTGGAAGTTGAACTGATAAAATTATTTAATACTTAATAAAGTATAGGTGAGGTTAGTATTTGCTTATGCACTCTATAGTCTGGATTCTCATGCAAATTTGTATGTATAAGTGCATTTGCATATGTGGCTGTACACAGACCCACTAGTTTTAGAGGTACCAGGGCTGTTTTCTATATTAAAAACAGAGTGAGGATATGTTAGGTTGAAGACTCCTCTTAAGTAAATGCTGATGATTCCCATTTCTAGATATACCATTATTTTTGCTGTCTGGAAACAAAATGCTCTAGGATTGTGCTGATTTGTTCAAGAAGGAGCATATTATTTCAGCCACCATTGGAGTGCCATGATTTTTTGGAAACAACACAAAATTAAAAGCTTTATTTTCTTTTGTTCCATTCTAGGTATTTGCCCTGTTGTCCTCAAGAAGCCTCTGGAGGCTTGAGCAAAGGTTTGGGTGCTGCAGAAGTAAGTCAAAGTTCAGATCATTACCTCTAATTTTCCTGGAAATACTTCTTCAGAATTTCTGCTTCAGCTGCCATTTCTTCTTCTGTCCTCCACTTGTCAGGGGAATCATCTTTGTCGTGTTGCTGCAACTTTTTGAGGGAGAAAAGAACAGAAAATCAGTTTATTATTTTTTTCAGTTTGAATGTCAAATTTAGGGCAGTCAGTCTAAGTATTCCATGTGTCTTCAGGATGGATGGACCTGGTGATGAGGAGAGGAAGAGTGAAGGTTGCTGGTTTAGAGTGGTGACAGTGGCTGCATTTACAAGGACAGCACCGTGTGCCAGGGTGAGTGGCAGGCAGGGACAGGCTCAGCTTTGTGGGCTGATGGTCAGACACCTTGTGAGCCATTGATGCAAAGCTGGCAGGTAAAACAACAGAAAAACACTCAGGTCCTTTGAAGCAGCCATCCCACTACTGGAGTGAGCTGGACAATTTGTCACTATTTCCTGTAAATTTTTTCTCTGTCTATTCCTCTGCCCATGGGATCACCTTTTCAATCAAAGACCTATTGTGATAACAAGGCCCTTTTGCAGCTGTTTCCCACCAACAGTTTATATTAATATTTTTTCAATTCCTTCTCTGCATGCAAGTTATTCATCCTTCCTTGCCATTGTTGAAAGGAAGACATATCCCTGGTCTAGAAACAAAACCTGTTATTTTAAGCATAATTATATTTCATTGATTTCTTGGGGGAAAAAAATAGTATAAGAAACATATAATTTTTGTGTCCAACTTGCACGCTATGCCCACAAAAATTTTCTCTATCCCATACGCAGTAACTGTTACATGATGTCCCAGACATGATAATTTCTTCCTTTGCCACTCAAGAAGAAGGGAGAAGCTGACAGCTTGGCTGCTTTGCTGAAGAGGGGAGCTCCACATTAGGGTAAATACTGGCATTTGAGTGACTCTTTGTGCACATGTCCATTCAAAGAACGTCTGCCACTTGCCAAGTGACGGCAGCATTTACACCAGACAGCAGAAACATTTACTTAACAGATCAAGTATTGAAATTCCAGTGGTTCTCTAGGTTTAGAGCACAGCACAGACTGCATTAACAGCACCAGTGCTTCTAAGGAACTTCATAATACCAAATCCCTGTTAATATCACAAAAAATTTTTGAAAATTAATGAATTTACACTTCTTATTCCAGGAAAAAAATTATAGTATAGAAGACGAAGCAGTGAAAAAACAAAGATGAAGCCATCGTGAACCTCCAAGCAAAGTGCATTACTGTATATGGGATGTTTAGCAATAAACTAGGATTGTTAGCATTCCTCCAACTCACAAATACTTTTATTTGTGCTATGTTTCTCCTACTCTGAATTTTGCTGCCAGCTAGAGTCCTGTGTAGTTTTACACTCTGTAGCACAGATTTCCCCCTGCTCAGCAGATGAAGCTGCATTAGAAAGCCATTTCCTTTCATGCCAATACAGTGCAGTAGCTGTAGGCAAATTAAAGTGTATTACTCTTTGACTCAAAGAAGACTAATCTTCATTGTTACATTAGTACTAAATATGTTATAAATCCATCTTGTAATAATGCCAGAGAATTAGAGAGAAGTATTTAAAAGGCAGCGACTGGCACAGTGTGCACACTATCAGCACATGCCCTGGGTCCAAGTGTCTGCTGTCACCCTCTGCACACACCCACAGGGTGTGCAGGTACCTCAGCTGACCTGGCAATGAGTTGTTGGAAAGAGTATCCATCATCCTGTGCTTCCTGTGGTCTGGGAATGCTCACACCTCACAAGGGAGTGCATCAGGACAAGTGGTGGTAAATTGACTGAGGTGTGAGCTGTTTTCTGAATAAAAGCAGTGTTTTGGTCATTCAGTATGGTAATGCTGGTAGGAGGTACAGCAGGCAAAAGCTGGAAGGCAAGGGAGGGCTGCCCTGTTCCTCAAGGTTTCCTTGTTTAACCCAGAATTACTTTTAGGGACATCATTTGGCTGCTGCTCCCCCTTGCTATCTTGTTTCTGCACAATCCAGGTGAGAGCTGGCTCCATGTGCAGCCTGGTAAAGGGGGGATGTGACTGGTAGGTGGTGATTTTTTTTTTCCTGTTCAAAAAGTGAGTAGTAATAAGGAAGGTTAACCTGCAATGGCTGTTGTTGTTGTCTAAATTAAAACTGTGCAGTTACAGACCACAGTGACTTCTCAAAGCTGGCAAAGGTGAGGGTTTCTTCTGCTACATAACAGCTAACCTTTAAAAATAATCAATCTTTGAGGCTAAAACAGATGTATGGAGAGCAGCAATGAATCCTGAAACCTGCCTGGAAGCCCAGCAGCCCTGGCTGCCAGCACAGCCCCCAGGACACAGAGCAGCCCAGCCTGGGTGGGAGCTCAGTGCAGGTCTCGAGCTTCTCTCACTGAAAAGGGGCCTCCACATTTTGTGGCCACACTGAGAATGTCAAACCACAGCCTGAGGTGTTAAACCACTGCCACAGCCAAGGTATTCATTGTTAACTGATTTAGAGATGAGTATTATTTCTGTAAAAATTGCTGCATCTATCTCCAGATAGAATCCCAGGACTACTCTGTGCTCAGAGCTCTTACTCTGCCAGTCATTTCTGAGGTGAAATCCACAATTATCACCCCACAGCCACTCAGGTTGTGATATTACAAAAATAACACTGGAGGTATTGGGAAAACCACCTCTAGTTGCTTCCTACCCTCCTCTGACACCACCATCCTGCAGCTCCAGTAAAAGTTTGGCTCTCCAGCCAAACCATAGAGAGAGCCACTGATGCAAAATATTTCAATTATGGATAACCTTGCTAGAGGAGGAGTCTGGAGGAGGCCAAGAAGTTGGTAAGAGCACAGGAGCCCCTTCCTATGAACACAGGCTGAGAAAATTTGGGCTGTTCAGCCTGAAGAAGAGCAGGTTGAGTGGAGACCTCACAGCACCTTTCAGTATCTGAAGGAGGCCCCCAGGGAAGGGAGAGGGACTCTTCACTGGGAATTGTAGTGATAGGACAAGAAGTAATGGGTACAAATTGAAATAGGGGCAATTTAGGTTGGCTATTAGGAAGATCATTTTTTCTGTGAGGGTGGTGAGATGCTGGCACAGGTCACCCAGGGAAGTTGTGGCTGCCCCAACCCTGGCAGTGCTCAAAGCCACACTGGATAAGGCCTTGAGCAGCCTGGTCCAGTGGGAGGTGTCCCTGTCCATGGCAGACCCAGGCTGGGACCAGGTGATCTTTGCAGTCTGTTCCAACCCCACGACATTCCATGGTGTTCTGGATGATAAACACTTGGCAAGTTCAAGATCAACAGTACCAACAAACATGTGACAAAATAAAGGTTGCTGATCAAACTCTAGCTCAGGGATTGCACAATACAGGTCCACCTGTGCACCTTCCTGGTTCTTCAAATCTCCAGGATTTGCCATGGATCCCTAATGGTGACAAGGGACTGTGATCATGGATGGGTTTGCTCTCACCTCGTTATTTAATGTGTTCTTAAGTAAAGTACTTTTCAGCTGGGTTCATTTCTCCCTGTGAGGGCCTCTGTAAGCCAAAGCTACTTTTTAATTTTTTTTTTTTTTTTTACTTTATATAAAATTTTACTTTATGTAAAATGTTTTTGTTTAATTAAGAGAGATTAAGACAGTCTCTGTAGTATTTTGGCTAAGTTGTTATGCTGCTTTCAGGAGAGGAGAACATAGATATTTCAGTTGTAAATTGTACTGATTTAGAATTCAGGTAGGGAACAAACATAACAGCTGATACTTGTTTCTTAGGGACTTCTGTGCCTTAGAGTGTGCTCATATTCACACACACATCCATGTCCCAGCTGTGCATCTTTGCAAACATCTGACTTGTATTGAAAGTTTGGATTAAACTGAGGAAGCAACACTCTCTTGCACCTCAAGAACACTCCCATGGTTCTGCTCAAGCTAAAGGGCAAAAATATGCTTCTATTTGCCATAGATATCCATTCATTTAAAAATAGTGATTCACCCATCTTTCCTACCCATGTCAGACAGTAAAAGCTGGGTAAGTTGAGCTGAAATCCTTATTCAGATATATCCAAACACAGACTAGCTTGAAGTTTGTGATACTTTCTGTACAATTCTACTTCTTCAAACTCAGTGCACACTAAGGCAAGGTGAGTCTATAAAACCTTTTCTGCAGGGCACCAATTTAGTTACCATTTCAAAGCAGCTGTTACTTGGCCTGTTTTCATAAGAGGAAGGTGATGCAAAAGCATTGAAGCGGGTGGACAAAATGTTTTACTGTAAAACCCTGAAAGCCCCAAATTCTCTGAAAGCAAACCTGTTTGTAGACACTCACTACAGGAGTGTCTCCAAATCCTAAGCATCAACAGGAAGGTGAGGAACGCCCTCAGCATAGCTTGGATAACTCCAAAAGGAGGGAACAGGATGAGAGAGCATGAGCAGCTCTTTTAGACAATCTCTATTATGCTAAATTTTTCTTTTAATATTCTGAACAAGCACTGGGACACACATTAGTCAGGTCTCTAATCGCAGCTGCCCAGCAAATTACACACTGTATCTGCTCAGCATTCTTCAAGCACCAAGACTCGTGTTTATAACTCCAAACAGCTTCTTGCCTTGCAGTACAAATAAATGCACCATTTCTAAGATATGCCCTTCTTCAAGCAGATCATTACTGATGTCTGACTTCTTGGGCTTCCTGATAAATTATCCTCTTCTTTCACCTCAAGCAGAAAATGCTCCTCCACCGATAATCTATGACAGTCAGTCTTGATTACATGTAAACAGTGGAGCTCTTTGAATATTTCTGCTTGTGAAAAGTGTTCATTTTCTCACTCATGTCTCCCAGTGTGAGATGCTGGCAGACCTGACAGCTGTGCTTTATGTTATTTTATTAAAGTTGCTAGTGCTGCAGAATGGTCTATGTTTTTATCACTGCAATTCTTAAGGGGAACACAATATTGTTTTATAGCACATTCACATCAGGGGACCTCTCCTGCTTGCCCTTTGTGGAGGAGCCCAGAATTCTCAGCACAACAGACTATAGGGGACCTGGGTCTATGAATGACTGTTGCTTGAAGTGATATGTATATATATATTTTTTAACTTATGCCATAACACCATCAGAAAAGCAACCTGTATAAATACAGAGCACTAGCCAAAATTATTGGGAAAAAGCTTTTATGGTAGTTAGAACTATTCTCACTCCCCATGAATATTTATAGGTGATAGTTAAGAGTTTATAACCTCCAATGCATTTAACTAAAAGAAAAATTATAGTGATGGAGAGTAATTACACAAAACTGCAGCAACATAACAAAACTCAGCTGCTTCAGCAATTATAAAATATAGTATTATCAAAACCAGCAGCTACCAAAAACTAAAAAGAATGAATTTTTGCCAGTGGCTTGAATCAGAGATTAGGCATTACCCAGCTGCTGGTGTTCATTATTACCAACACACCTTGGGATATCCAGGCATCTGTTCTATAGTTAAAGCCTACACTGTGGTGAAATATGCAGAGTGATATCTCAACATCAGATTAACACATGAACCATGAGGAGGCTGAAAATCTAATTTCTTCTCACCAGTAGCAACCCTTTTCCAGGGGCTGGAGACAAACTTTATCCCGGGGCTGCTGCTGCACCTTGCTTCCCCCAACTCCTTATGGCAGCAGAGTCCAGAGCACACCCCTGCTCCTCCTCTCGCATCCACCCCATGGGAGAAAACTCCAGGGCTGAGCTGGCTGTGGCTCCTCAGCCCTTTGGTGACAGTGGGAGCCTCCTGGTCCTGGTGATGGCTTCCAGCCATCTAAGCCTCCTCTGCTACTGCTTTTACAACTTAACTCCTGAATTGTTTCCTTTCCCCTGTTCCCCCTGGTCTTGACCTCCTTGCTCTTTTCCCCCAGTGCTTTCTTTTCTTTCACTTCTCTTTGTATTTCACTTATAACCTCAGAGTAAGACTTCATTTCCACCCCACTGCACAATGTGATTAAATGCAGCATTTACTGCTATTATCTGTACCTCCTGCTATGCTCCAGCCTTTCCTCACTCTCTGCTGTCTTGCTGAAAGAAGAGTGATCTTTTTGGTAGGTGCCCTCCTCTGCCAGTCTGAGCCTCCTGCCTCCATCCCATTTGCCTTCAGCTGTGCCTCAAGTCTCGACTTGACTTGCAATGAAAAATGAAAGAATAATGGATGAAACGCAGCAGTTTCACAAAGCAGCTTCTCAGGGATGCTGGAATCACATGGCCTTACACATCCTGTTCCACCTACCTGGGAAAAACCATTGTGGGGGAGTCACTGCAGCAGCCCCCAGCCCTGGGCTTGTGTCCCA